GCAAAGTTTGCTATCCTTACTGGTCATGGAACTTACACCACATCAGGAACTGGGGAAGTTAATTACTTAAAACCATCAGAAATGAAGGATTTAGTACTAAGTTAAATTAAGTCTTTAGTTTTTTGTTTTTGTTTTGTTTTGAGACAGGATTTCACTGTGTAGTTCCGGGCTGGTCTGGAACTCACTATGTAGACCATACTAGCCTGGATCTCAGAGATCTGCCTGCCTCTGCCTCCTAAATGCTGGTATTAAAGGTATGTGCTACCAGTCCTGGTGAAATGAAGTTTTAATAGACTGAAGTGTGTAAATAAGTAAAAAATTGCCTTGGCTACAGTCTCATTGCCTTTAAAAACTGTATCCAGAGTATGAGGTGTGGAAATTTGGATCTTAGACTAATTTTACCACAGTCTTCCATTTCATATCTAGTAGTTAGGACACCTAAAAGGTGGGTTCATCTCTGCAAATGTCTGATTAGAAGGGTACAACTCATGTCTAATAAAATTGCTGCTTCCCACCAACTGGCCAACATGACTGTTATTGAAATAGTATGAATTTGGTCAGGGTTACAGTCCAGAGTAACAACTGTGTGTGGATTACAGATGCATCATCGGCTTGTCTGTCTTCTGGGTTTTTTCAGTGTAGTATTTATTATCTTACAGTCTTGAGGTTCAGAGACAGAGTGACGTATAGATATCAAAATTCTACTACCTCTTCTTAACCCCTTAAAACATTCTCTTACCTTTGTCTGCCTCTGACACAGTAATCTCAAGGATTGTGTAATACTCCTGTAAAAGTTATTCTTTTCCTTTAAAAGTGGTTTTACAATAAAATTTTGTTTATAACCCTTCCAGTATTGGTTCTTCTTCTGACCCAGAGTCCAAGTAGAAGAAAGACAAAGTAGCGGAACTTTGGCTTCCAGAAGCCTTGGGAGGCAGCGGGTTAGGGTAGGCCTCTGAATACAGTCTGTAAAACTTGTGTGGAGAGTTGTCGGCTCACTACTGTTGCTATGCTAAAGAAAGCTTGGAAGCGACACTGAAATACAGAATTCCACATCCAGGTTTTATTTATTTAGTTTTGATGACACTTATAGACATGATACGAACCTGAAAGTTTAATTCTTTTTTCTCTCATGATTTAACATATGTATATGCTTTTCTGTGGTTTAAATGTTAACACTTGATAAATTTTTATGGTGTGAATAATTATGTCATTAAATTCTTTCAAATTACAAAATATTTCAAATATACATAAAGTAGTAATTAATATAAGTCTTGTACTCTTCCCATATTATTTTGCCATATTTGATTCTGATTTTTAAAGAAATAAAATGTTCCTCTTTTGTATTCTCTGACCCATTCCCCTTCCTTCCCCAGAGCCAGTTTGCTGTTCTGAAGTCTGTGCACTTCCTTCCTGTTTGAGGGTTTATACTTTATGCTGTGTTTTATCATAAATAATATGTAGCTTTCCCACTGCGTCATCTTTTGCAGCTCGCTTCTGCACTTAGCTGCTATTTAGCATCATCCCCCCAGCCCTCCTAATATCTGTTTTGGCCATTTTTGCTATTTTGAGCAAGTGTTGTAGAGTGTATTTTTTATCACCTTTTCTCAGCAAATGTGGTAGGTGCTCTGGAGGCGGGAGTTACAGTGGGCTTCCAGGTAATAGGGTGTGCAAAACTGTTGGCTTACGTCATGTCACATTGCTCTCTCACTTGGCTACATGGGGCATGTCTCGCAGTACACTAAGAGGGTTCTGGCTCATACGTGTCACTCATGCGTAGTCTTGATGAAATTTCCAGTTTCTAGTGGCAGAGTTGTGAGCTAGGCAAGCAATGTACAACTGCACCACATCTCCTATACCTTAGTTAGGATTCATATTTCCCTAACTATGGGGGAGGCCTGGTTTTGTTCATTCTTGCTGGTCATTATTTTACAAACATGTCCAGAATTTATGCTTATTTATCTATTAGGCTACTTGTATTTCTAAATTATAGTCACATAATGCTCTACTATCTAGTCAAGCATATATTGTAGCTTGTCTTCAACATGGTGCGTGACTTTAATTTTACAGAATTTTCCCATTTAATTAAATTGATTATTCTTTTCCATTTTGATTCAGCCATATTTTCCATCTTAATGTTTTTATTAGTCAGGGTTCTCTAGAGGAACAGAACTTATAGAATGAATGTATATATTAGAATGGCTTATAGACTGGGGTCCAACAGTGGCTGCCTACCAACGGAAGGCCTAGTGGATTGTTCAGTCCATTTGGCTGAGTGTCTCAGCTGGTCTTTAGTATGTCAGAAGCCAAAAGTCTGCTCTAATGGTAGTGAAGGGACGGACTTGCCAGCAAGAGCAAGCAGGCGAAGAGCAAAAGCTTCCTTCTTCCATGTCCTTTATATTGGCTGCCAGCCTATATAATTTGGGTGACCAGATTAAAGGTAGATCTTCTCATCTCAAAAGATCCAGTTCTAAAGTGGGTCTTTAAGAAAAATCCCTCACAGGCGTGCGTATCCACTTGGGTTTTAGTTAACTTCAGATGTAGCCAGGTTGACAGCAGGCATCACAGCACTCTAAAGTCTGGTTCTTCCCAGGTCCCTAGCTCTTCTGCTCTCACCCAGCTTTATCTTTCAGGCTAGAACACAACTGTTCTTTGTTTTTTTCTTTTCTAAATTAGAGGAAGAAGGAATGTTATGTTTCTGTGGTGGACTCCTTCAGTGTCTATAATTTCTCTTTCCATTTTGTAGGTTTTCCCTACAAAAGGTCTTATTCAGGGCTTTCATCTGTTTCTGGTAGCTTTGACTTGTGAACTTTAATATGGACTCCTTTGAGCATGAGCAGGGCACCCTGTAATTTGTGTCTTTGATACTCAGATTCAGTAGGGTACTCGAGGGTAAGAAACAGCTTAGTCTCACTGAATTAGCCTATGGCATCATGGGCTTAACTGTGTCATTTTCATGTGTCACTACACAACTCTATTTCACCGCTTCTCAGCATCAGCAGGAGACACAGATCCTGCTTTCTCTCCATAGCTGTCTGGTAGACAAACTGCACACCAGAAGAGGTGCCAGGGTGCCTCCGCAGTGCCCGTCCTCTAGCACAGCACACATTAGGTAGGTATGGCGCAGGCTGGACACACACTGATGGAGACACACCAGTGTCCCTTCCAATTGCTGTGCCACTATAACGTGTGCTGCTCCTGGGCGGGAGCCAGATTCTGCCTGCCAGCTGTGAAACTAGCTGGCGTAGGTTGCAGGCAAGGTAAAACCAGCAACCCTGTACATTCTTGACAGTTGAGTGTGGTGTAGTTTCCCCTCTGGAGCTTCCATTGGGGCAGCTTGCTAAAGCCAACAGGTTTTCACCCAGCTGCCCACTCCCCAAATGTGGCACACTGCTAGCAAGACCACAGGTTGGAAACAGGTGTTCCTGAGTACCTGAGAGTCTCACCTACAACCTGCTCTTCCCCACTGCACTCTGGCCATATGGCCCAGCAAATCCAGTGGTAATGGCAGATGGATTCCATAGAAGGCTTGGTCAGACCCTAGAATAAACTGCTGTTGCTGGTCTTTGGGATTCTGGAGCAAGACCCTGCTAATATCACAGCTGCTCTTGCTTTAAGTGACAGCTCTTGTCCTGCTACTGTATCTTGGCAGATATGAATAGAGAACATTTATTGACGGAGAAATAAAAGGAGCTTGGGATAAAGATAACCTTTATTAGAAAAACACCAGCCAAATGCAAGCCAGAGCGTGCCAGGGGCAGCAAGGTAGGCAGGCCGGAGAGAAGGGGCTCCCATGTGCCTTGCAGCCCCTTAAAAACATATCACACGTCATCCTGACTTCAGCCTCTAGAAGGTGTGGCTTACACTATCCCCCACAAACATTGATCACCTTGTTACCTGAGCTCACTTCAGTGAACTCTGAGGATTATCATCATTTGCATTGTTTGAAAAAATTCATACATGTATACAGTATATATTGGTCAGAATCACCCCTCACCCTCCTTATATCTCAACTTCATTCATGCCCTACTTTTCAAATGAGAGATCCATGGCTGGAGAGGTGGCTTACTGGCTAAAGCACTTACTACTCTTCGAAGGGACCTGAATTTGGTTCCAACACCTGTGTTGGGTGACTTACAACCACCTGCAATTCCAGTTCTAGGGCATCTGACACTGTCTTCTGGACTCCATGGGTTAGGTCCACATATGGCATATATTCTCACATACAAATCTTTAGAAGATTATATCTGGCTGGGTAGTGGAGTTGTATTCCTTTAATCCTAGCACTCGGGAGGCAGAGGCAGGATCTCGGAGTTTGAGGCCAGCCTGGTCTACAAAGGGAGTTCAAGGACAGCCAGAGCTATTACACAGAGAAACCCTGTCTCAGAAAAAAAAAAAAAAAAAAAAGTGGGGGGAGGGGAGCTCTTGTTTTGTTTTGTTTTTCCAAGACAGGGTTTCTCTGTGGCTTTTGGAGGCTGTCTTGGAACTCGCTCTTTTAGACCAGGCTGGTCTCAAACTCACAGAGATCGGCCTGCCTCTGCCTCCTGAGTGCTGGGATTAAAGAAGGCATGCACCACCGCCTGGCTGAAAAAAAAAAAATTCTATCTGTGTGTATTTGTTTAACTCACTGAGTTCAGTCAGTGCTTCTATATCCATGTGAATACAGGGTTGTTCACAGGGCATAGGCAATGTACCAGTAGCCACCCCTAAAAGAATTATCTCAGAGAAGGTGGCCAGAATCCCTGAAAATTATCATCTAAGGTCACCTCCATAGGTGTGTGGCTGGACTTTTTGGATGACATCACTGGCTCCGGTAAGCCTTTATGAATATCTAGAGAGAAAAAGGCACCTTCGTGATAGCAGTCATTGAGTGATGTTACTTTGTCCAGTGAATGGAACCACCTGTTAGACTGTCTGCATTCGGAGTTTTCATCATGTTGTTCATGGCAATCCAGTGTATTTGTTGAATATTGCCATTGTGTAAAACAAATGCCATCACAGGAGAGTGAAAGTTCTTTTATTGCTGCAGCTTACCTCCAAGCCTCTGTTATGTGCACACATCAATACTCTGCCCCAGGTGGCTTTTCAAAATAGCAAGTAGGGGATAAAATTCATCTGCGGCTTCTTTGCACTCAGGTGTAACTAGTCACCATGGAACCTCTGGCTCAGGGTCTCCAGTGACTGGTTTCATGGCTCTATGTTCAGTGGAATGGATAGCTGAGATTTATTTTAATTAGTATCCTTTCTGATGGACATCTAGGGTGATCACATTACTTTGCTATTACAGCTAATGTTAAGTCAAACATCCTTTCATATATAAATATAACAAAATGTAAATTAATTATAAATAGAATATACGCATGTACTTGCACACATACAGAAACACCCATATACTTGAGTCCCTGAAAACAACATGGCCCAGCTTAACATCATCATCTTTTTAAGGTTTATTTTGTTTTCTGTGTATGGGTGTTGTGCATTATGTATGTATACGAGGTGTGTGCCTGATACAATGGAGGTCAGAAAAGGGCAGGACCGGTTGGTACTGGAGTGACAGGTGGCTGTGAGCCGCCATGTAGGTGCTGAGGACTGGATCCCAACCCTCTGTACCAGCACTCTCAGCGTTTATCCAGCCGCACCTTTTCTTTTCTTCTTTTTTAAGACATGGTTTCTCTGTGTCACCCTGGCTGTCCTGGAACTCGCTCTGTAGACCAGGCTGACTCCACCTTTTTCTTTGTGACAAATTTCTGATAAAATTTATTGGCCAAAGAATGGCATCAGTCTCAAACCTACTGAGCGCATTCAGCTTCAGGCAGTTCTCGGGTACTTTGGTGGCTCTGGGGACACTAGGACTTGCTGAACCTGAGGACTGATAGGAGTTCTTGGCCCGCTTGCCTGCAAAGTGCTGTGGTTCCTTGCAGACCTTTTGTCTTCAGTATTTTAAAAATTTCTTCTAAAAATGAAAAAACAAAAAAGTCAATCAAATTGTTTGGTTATATGCATGATCACAGATCAATTTAATAAGATGATAAACACATTAAATTCCTCTGATTAAACAATGTATATATCAAATAAATGTTGACTCAAGCTTGGACTTCAGAGAACTGGGACACATTTTAAGATGTTCTGGGATTCTGATCAGATTTTAGTGCCTGGCCTGCAGTGGTGGCCATTTCAGACTACGAAGGACCATCAGTTAACCTCGTTATTACAGCAAGTGATCACATTTTTAGCTGGTTGGTGCCGATTTCTGCCATATATCCTTTCTGGGAAAGGTCAATGAGAACCTGGACAAACTGAATCCTGACGGTACCTAGAGCGTGTAAATAAGTTTACTTCTTTTGGAAATAAAACTCAGGCTGGAAAGATGGCTCAGTGGTTAGGAGCACTTACGGCTCTTGCAGAGGATCTGGGTTCAAGTCCCAGCACTCACATGATAGCTCACACCCATTTAAACTATCATTCCAGGGGATCCAGTGCTTTCTTCTGGCCGCCTCAGGCTCCTGCACACACTTGGTACACATACATACACTCACATATACACACACACACACACACACACACACACACACACACACAAATACACAACTAAAAAAAAAATCTAGAAAAGACAAAACTGAACTAAGAAGACTGAACTATGAAAATAGTACCAAATAATCCCTTCACACACAATGAATGGGTTATGTCTTTATCTGTTAGCAGAAAGGATCCACAGACCAACTCCCTGAACAAACATTACAGGCCATTGCCAAAGCTATTGTTTACCCTACAGTCTTGAGGGTCAGACCATATTGCTGAAGAATCCCTGCTCAAGAAACCTAACTGGTACTTGACTGGAACCTTCGTCTCTACTGGCTAGTGTTCATGGTGCTGGAAGGTCTACACACTGCTGGGGGAAAGCAGTCTTCAGTCTCATCCAGCTATGAAGCCTGTGAACTACCACAGGGGCCTGGGCCTGCCTGAGGCTCCCCCACTGCTGCACGGTATGGGAGTAACCATCTACTCTTTCTGTTATTATTATTGCTGGCGTGTAAGACTTGCCCCATGAGATGGAACGCACGCTGAGGGTGAAGTCACAGAAGTCAGTTTGTATTTGACTATCGGTTCACGAGTGGGGGAAAACTGCCCTGTCGTAAGGAGACAATAGGTGTTAAAACATTAACGTTTCACCTCTTACAAGTCCTTCTCTTTCAAAGTGAACTGGCTGCATTAGTTGTCAGTGATTAAACTGCTCAACAGCCCAGGCTACTTTTATAAGTTACAGCTTTCTACACTTAACTTTTATTGTCAGCAAACAGTTAACACGAAGTTGTTTGGGTTTTGTTTTTTATTACCTTTATTGTTTTCTTTTATGGTAACCAAGTAGAACAGTCCTCTTGGGGAAAGAAGTTCTGACGCCAGAGGGAAGAATCTGTCCATGACTTCCCGACCATTTCTTCCACCAGCCCAAGCTGCTTCTATTCCGTGACTTCCTACCTGCCACCAATCAGAGAAACTTGACTGAAGTTTCATTGAGATTACAATCCTTTTGTCATAAAACACCAAACAAGGACGCATTTCCAAACACATGTACCTTGGCTTCTGAATTGTTTCTTCACTGTATGCACTGAGACCATGACCAAGACCTAACCACCCTTACTGCACACAGGCTCACCTGTCGTCATAAATAGAATGTAATAAACCTTTGTCCATTTAGTTTCTGTCCTATCATTGAATGATGTGTTTGTGTGAAGACAGGGTCTCACTGTTTGGCCCCCAATAGCCTGGAACTCAGAGATCTGCCTGCCTTTGCCTCCTGAGGCATGCGTCACCACACCCAGCTGCTGAATGATTTTTTTTTGTTGTTTTTTGTTTTTTCAAGACAGGGTTTCTCTGTGTAGCTTTGGAGCCTATCCTGGCACTCGCTCTGGAGACCAGGCTGGCCTCGAACTCACAGAGATCCGCCTGCCTTTGCCTCCCAAGTGCTGGGATTAAAGGCGTGCGCCACCAATGCCCGGTCCGCTGATGAATGATTTTTAAGATTATGTCTTAAGGGCTGGAATTATTGGATTGAGACATTTTTAAGAATTGTGTTTATTGATTTAATTTGTGTATGTGTGTGTGTGTACATGTGGGCAGAGGACTGTCTTTTGGAAGTTTGTTTCTACCATGTGGGCCCTGGGGACAAGGTTCAAGGGCAAGCACCTTTATCCCCTGAGCCACCTCTGGCCTGTATTGAACCATTTTTATCATAAGGTTCATTTCCATAACTTTCTCTTGAGCTTTAAGTTCCCAAGTTAGAAACTTAATCCCCTATTGATACGCTGATGGCATTTGGAGGTGTTTCAGTAGGTGGGGTAGGAGGTCATGGGGATTAGTGGCCTTATAGAGAAGAGAGCCACGGGTTTTCTCAACATGTGATGTCTATCAGAATGCAGCAGAAAGTCCTTGGCCACAGCCACACACCCTGAGACTGCTCTTCTCAGCCTCCAGACTCTGAGAAATCCACAGATTAATTACATAACCTGGGGTATTTTATGATAGGAGTAGTGAACACTGAAAGACGCTGTAGTGCTGTTCCCTCTGTGACTGTGACTTTCTTCCCCCTCTGAGCACAGGCAAAGCAATCATGAGCTGCAGGCTACCTTCCACCTTGGAGTGGAAGTGAGCGTGACATTTAGCTGCTTTGCCAGAGAACCTTCACCAAAGAATACAATGGGAGCAATTAAAGAGCAGCTAATTGAGCTAGCGTTGGTGGTGCACACCTTTGGTCCCAGCACTTGGGAGGCAGAGGCAGGCGGATCTCTGTGAGTTCGAGGCTAGCCTGGTCTACAAGAGCGGGTTCCAGGACAGCCTCCAAAGCCACTGAGAA